ATAATATTGTAATATTGTGTTTTATTAAGACTGCTCGTCCTAAATAACCAATAATAACCCATGCTCAAGGATTCTTTTTGTGGGTGTTTCTGTTTATTTATCTCGAACGAACTTGATATACATTATACATTGTTTTTATATTATTTTTGGTAAATAAATTATTATTATTATTATTATTATACACCCATGTAATCTTGTTCCAACTAGTTTTGTTTTAATAGTTAGACTAATTTGATTGAATGATCATCTATGGGTGTCTAGAGCGACAACATTTTAAAAACACTGGCATAATATAATATAAATACAATATATAATTCTAAATAAATAGTAGTCCATACAATGTGGATTTCACTTGAGGAATAAACTTAAAGATCAATTTTTAATCTAAAAACAAAGAGAATAGGCTGAGTTTTAAGAAGCAGACACCTTTAAAAACAACATGTATTTGATAACCTATTGACGATGTTTGACCATCCAATAATCTGTTTGACTAACCCCAGAAAAATAAATTTTAAAACAAATAAAGGTAAAATGAAGATAGTTTATATTTCTCAAAACTGCATGTGCCCATTACTTTTGTTACTAACCCCTTAAAATATTCAAGGGGTAAATTATAGAAAAATAAAAGTTTTGAAAAATTTATCAATTGCCAGTAATGCACAATTAAGATCCAAAGGCATTTAAAAGTATGTATCATGTATCGACATCGACATCAAGGAAGTTGTTTTGATGACAATGAACGGTTGGAATAGAACCTGATGTAGGATCTGGTGAGACAAGACGTCGCTTTTGGTAGAAGGAGCTCGATACGCTCCCACTTCTTAAGCAAACATGGATTCCATCTCACCAAGATATTATTTCAAAAGTCATATAGAGTTATAACATATCTACACCGACGGATCTAAAACAAAAAAAGGCTCAGGATGTGGAATATACCCCAGATTTTTGAACCTAAACATAAAAATGGGCTGTGAGTTATATTGTTAGTGTAGTTCAAACCAAGCTCACGGGGATTTTTAGAGCAGGAAAAGAAATCACCAGATGGGATATTCTCAGGTAACTCTAATATTTGGTTCCCCAGGCGTTTATAGATCTTGGAAGAGATCATTGATTGACATTCACAAAAGCTCTATGTTAATCCTTAGTCATTCCATCTGGGCAAACGAGTTTTAACCTTGTAATAATTATTAGTTTGTTTAACATATGGAGGCAAAACCGTAAAAATCATTGGTAACCCTGTCCCCAGATGATATTTATCTGTTTCAAATGCATTTTCCAGGTCAATTTTCTTTGCCAATACCATTTTTTTTAAATTTGACATCAATCTGTTGCATAAAATTTTGTAATCTTAACGTTATTTCACTTAAACATAAATACCTACGACTTCATCGACAAATTTAAACTGACCCCAAGGTTTTATCGTTATTGGTGTATCGTTTTTGCCTCAATCAGTTACGTTTTAATGATATTAGGTGTTTTCTTCAGTTGGTGACAAAAAGCTGTGCAGTAGATAGCCGCGCTTAGCAAAAATAGAGGTTTAAAAGTAAAAAAACACAGTTGGTACTAAAAAGTGAATATTCAGTGTCTCTAGGAGTTTTTCCTTTAGTCTAAGTTGGGTTATTAGTTACCAGAAGATATTAAAAAAAAATACATGTTTAGAAACATACATTTATCTATCACAATTGATTTATTTTTATAATACTAAAAAATAACTATGTCAATCGAAGTTTTTTAAAGTAAATAATTTATTTTTTCAGTGTGCGTAATGATTTTTACTTCCTAGACAAGACATTGTGAGACTATTCCTAAACTTAAAGCATATCGAAATATTTTTTGTCTTAAAAAATTCTGGATGCCGGTTCTGCGGTAAATAATCGGATAGCAGGGGGATTATCGGGATCAAGTGAAGCGTGATTAATTGATTCATATTGCAGACGGGCCTGTGTTGTTATTGCGGGCCGTAAATAATGCCGATTGGGCCTACAGGTGAATCGGGCACTGGCACTTCGTCCTTTTTAGCGACCCTATAGGATTCTTGAATCGGGTTTGGATTGGAATCGAGAGTAGAACAACTTTTATGAATTTTTTCGCCATATTTTGTTTCGCTCTTTGTGGAGACCACGAGATTGTTGGCACGGGTTGATTTATATGGGTTTATCTGAAAAAAAAATTACGGTTCGGAGGTATAGGGGAACCAGGATTTTGATGAGAGACGGCGAAACATTTCAAAAACTATATTTTTCATCTGATTCACCAAAAATTTGTAAAAATGTCTTTTTTTCTTCTTTTTTCTTTATTAATTTTTTAAAAACACTCCATAAGGGTTGTTATTTAATGTTACAATCTGGTTGCTTTGTTATTATCAGAATCACTTGGTTAACTTAAAAGATTTCATTCTATTGAGTTTTCTTGTCAGAAGTTAAAAACCTTAAAAACAGTTAAAAACTGTTAACTAATAGCCCCTAGCCCTCCTTTTTTTCAAAAATTATAAATTTAAACCCTCATATACAAACAAAAAAAACTAAACTCTTCGAACAAAAAAAGAATATAAAATTATATAGATTTAAAAAATAAAAATAATAATGTTGAATAATAAGAAATATCAATATTATTCCAATAAATTAAAACAAACAATGGATTAAACAGAACAAAAAATAAAAGCAAGGGCCGAAAGCTATAATACTATAAAAAACAATTTTGTCGTTTAATCTATTATCACTAAGAAATTACTAAAAAATACTAAAAAGAAAATAAATTTAATAACACAAATTTTATCTCCAAGTAAATTACAATAATAGTAAATAACAGGGGACTGACTGTACGGACACACTGTATAACTGGATTTAAAATCAGATACACTTAATTTAAGGTCTTGCTCGCATTAGCGGATCCACTGACTAATATTCGTACAAATTCTAAAACAAGCCACCTGCAGTTCGACTCCATCAATCTCCTGCAAAGTCAAAATTCCCTGCTACTGTTGCCCGTCAGGAATACATTTAGCAGTTCCGCGTCCAACTGGGGGGTGTTAATCCCCGACACAAATCCTTTTGTTGCCTATTTAACTCTTTTAATCACAATTTCATGCAACGTCATACCTATTAGTCCTTAGAAGCTCACCCTTTTCGTGCTCTATTTCTAAAAAGAGGGACAACGGAAAGGGCCTAGGCCCGCTGCAAGTGTTCGGATATTGAATTATGGTTGTTGACCAAACTATAAGCTGATTAGTCGATTGGGGATTCGGAATTGATTGAAATAATATGTAGATATATGGGCGTTAAGTTTTAATATCTATAATGGCACATGTATCAGATAGTTTGACCAATTTTAACCAGATAAATGAAAAAAATTTTCAAAGAATTAGTTCCTGAAAATAAAAATAAAGGAAGCTACAGTGTTAAAACAAAGAAGAAAAATAAAAAAAAAAACATAAAACAATAAAAAGAAGCATAACTATTCCTAAAATTAACATTGTTGACAAAATATTAATTTTCACTTTTTACTGTAACATTTTTATGATTTTGTAGACACGTTTCTTTGTAAAATGAAATTTTAAATTGTACAAAAGTTCTCTCTGTATAGATAATTTGTGGAAATGAGTTATAATGTAAATTTTTAATAAAATATCTAGTTTTATAAAAATATTACACATTTATTATTTTTTATTGTATCTAGAATATTAAATGCTCTCTCGCAAATGCATCACCAGGAATAGACGCAATAACGGTAATACTATCGAAAGAAATAAAAGATCAAATAAATCATGAATTAGCATAATTAATCTAGCATTTGAGCAGGGCATATGTTCAACTCAGTTTAAGGTATCTGTTGTTAAAGAAAGGCGAAAAAATAGAATAGAAAATTATAGACCGATTAGTTTAATATCAAAGGTAGCAAATATTTTTCAAAAAAACTTTTAAAGACAAAGTTACAAAATTTGTCAATAAAAATAATTTATTACATAATACACAATTTGGATTTAGAGAAAATTGTTCTACTAGCGATGATATTGCATTATTGATTAGGAAAAAGTTAAAATAACCAAAACATGTGCCTGTGTATTTGTAGACCTAGCAAAAGCTTTGGACACAGTTACCCATCCAAAACTTTTGTCAAAGCTTTATAATATGGGAATTAGAGGTAAAGTCCATTTACTTCTTAAAAGCTACTTAACCAGCAGACAACAAATAGTTGAAGTTAATGCAAATAGAAGTGCATCACAAGAAGTTATTTATGGGGTGCCTCAAGTGGAAACTAGCCTGAAACAAGAGATTTACAAAAAATAATACATTGGTTTGATGAACATTTTTTAAAAATGAATTTAGATAAGAAAGTGTATCTACCATTTTACAATTTAAAATAGTCTTAGCCAATTTAAATCTTTTAAAAATAGATCTACCATTCCGTATTACATCCTGGTCTTTACCTGTGTCATCTTGTGCCATATATTTAGTAATAACCATGGACGCAATTTTAAAATTGAATATAAATATATATATTAATAATCTGGTAAAAAGAATGAGATCTCTATCATACTACTTAAGTTCGCAGTATATGGGAAACTTTTTATTATTAACTTGACGAAAAAAAGTTATTCTTTATAAAAAGTTCTGCAGGGTGTAAAACCCAAAATGCAACTATCAGATATCAAATTTTTACAAGAATATGAATTTTGCTAAAGAGTAAATATCTTTATTTTTAACAAACCTTGTAAACGACTGATAAAATTTGATATCTGATGATTGCATTTTACGTTTTAGACTATGCTCGACTTTTTATGAAGAATAACTTTTCCCCCTAAAATGCCACCAACTGTCTAACAAAACCAATTAAAAAAAATTAAATCTAACAAACACAAAAATGTTTTATGTGATTTCGGTTAGTTATATTTTAAAAATTAAGAGAGGAAAATAATTATTAAAATATGTTACTAACATTTATTTATAACAACCCCCCAAAACTATGAAAACTATGGTTAGTTTTAAATTAGTACGGTTTTTATGTTGTTAGGAAATGGTAGAATGACTTTGAAGTATTAGATCAATCAAGGCATTTTGTATAAGTTTAATAAAACATATGAAGAATCCACATTTTTAATTAAAAGTAAAGTAAAATCTCAACAGTTTTAATATAAATAAATAATCCTATAAAAAATCAAATTTATTTATGTCCGTAAATATATTTTGTCATTTTTATATGTAGATAAAATATTTGGAACTGACCACTAAAGAGATTTTTGTATTTTGTTTCAGCTGCAGGAACGGGCAGCGTGTGCGGCATGTGTTGCAGGCCGATCAACGATCGATTCCTGCTAAGAATCATGGATGTGTCCTATCACGAACACTGCGTCCAGTGTTGCGCGTGTGGAGACCATCTTCTTCACACGTGTTTCGTTAGAGACTCCAAATTATATTGCAGATTAGACTATGACAGGTACGGAAGCATGCTTTAATATACATCTCTATAAGTTCACTCACGAATGCATAGATAGTTTCAAAGATTTAAACAAAGTAATTTATAAGCAAAGGGAATCCAACCTCTGAAATGTGATGATCTTCAGTGAGATAAATTAATATAACTTGCATCATATATGATATCCTCAATATCAACATTGGTCAATGAAGTGTACATCTAATTAACAATCGATCTCTAATTATACATTAGAAAGTTCAACACTCCTCTATTTATTATTTGTTTTATCCTAAAAATATTAGATATAGACCATTTAAAATGTTTAACGATGATGATTTTCAAAAGGACTTACTTGACACACCGTTTTTTAGAATCTTTGATCAAGAAAGTTCAGATGAAAAAATTTCTCTATTTGTTAACTTGTTAATAAATGTATTAGACAGACTGACAGACATGTGCCCTTAGTAACTTCGCGAGTAATCAAACCTAGAGCACCGTGGTTAACAGGGGCTATTAGAGAAATGATGGCAATACGAGATAAAGCTTTTAATAGATATAGGAAAACCCAATGAGAAATTCACTTTTAGTTTTACAAAGACATGAGAAACTATTGATAAGGGAAATTCCCAGATAACGAAATTTAAAATTAATTATGTCAAAATTGAAGTTAGCAAAGCTGGACGATTTGTCTAGAAAAACATTTTTGTGAAATGATCAAGGATGTTTTTGTTTGGATTTTGGAATTATAGATTGTCATTAGAATTTTTAAGATGTCAGATGGAAAATTTTGAAAGAGGAGTGTAAGTTTATATAAGGAGAAAAATTATTGATTGGAAATAAAGATATTTAGAGAATTGTCATGAGATTTTGGAAGAAACTGTAACAGGGAATTTGGTTTGTCATTAGAATTTTTTAAGATGTCAGATGAAAAATTTTGAAAGAGGAGTGTATGTTTGGGTTTTATATAAGGAGAAAGATTATTGATTGGAAATAAAGTTATTTAGAGAATTGTCATAAGATTTTGGAAGAAACTGTAACAGGGAATTTAGATTGTCAGAAAATTTTATAAAATTTTGAAAAGATAAATAAAGTTGTAAAGAAAAGTTATTTAATTAATTAAAGCAGAGCAGCCAGGGCAGAGAAATATATTTTTTTTTAATTTTAACTAATTTTTGATTATTTTTTTTTCTATAAAAAAAAATAATTTTTTCTAGATTTTGAACCCGTCCAGTTTTGAGATTTGGTAGTTTTTAAAATATTTTTTAGAAATCCATATACTGGGTGTTTCCATATCACTATACTAATTTTTTTTTGCTTATGAGTTAAATAAAAATAATTGCCTAAATATCAACAGTCCAATGTTATTATTTTTGGAAATAGGGCAAAAAACGAGATTAATTTAGATGTTAACATTTTTGTTAAAAATATACCGCTACAGAATGTAGAAGCTAGAATTTGGAGGTGATATTAGATTGTGACTTGAAGTTTGAAGCACATGTTAATCAACTAGTAAAACGCGCATATTTTATTCTTAAAGTATTATATGAGAGTAGGCATTTTTTACCATCACATATCAAATCGAGACTATGTGATACTATCTATTTTTAATTATGCAGATATACTCTATGGACCATTTTTTGAACAGCTTGTATAAAAAGTCCAAAACTCTTGCTTACGTCTTATATACGGTATTCGTAGAAGAGAACATATCAGTCACAAACTGAAAGAGAATGGTTGGTTAAATATGGACGATAGAAGGATTATGCATGAGGCAGTGGTTTTTCATAAAATTCTAGTTAATAAGACACCTTCCTACTTGCACAAATGTTAGATATAAGGGTATTCTTTCTCCTCCTTTTTTCAGATTAAAACTTTTTAGACGCAGCTTTATATACCAAATATGTTCTATTTATAATGATATCCCTGCATCCTATAAGACTTACTCAATAAACAAATTTAAACATTTTTTACTTAAACTTTTTTTAACCAAATTCAAATAAGAATGGATGTCACGTATTGGATATAAAGCCACAGCAACTTTATCTCTTAAAACGCTTGAAAACAACAATAAATATCGCTCGTACAAAACCCTATACACGTCTAAGTAAAATTTGTCCACATTTGTCGCCCGCGCATTACCATAAAAAACCGATTGCACGCCGCTGAAAAACAAGCACTCAGACAGCCGACCCGTCGCGACGCTGAGCGTCGGTCGCCCGTCACACGTGCTACGTTTGCCCCTAAACGATACCGACCGCAATATTAAATATTAAAATATGCACCGACGCTCCGAAACGGCGTTTAATGTGACACTATTAATATTATAAGGCGCTATTTTACATCTTCTTTGAGAGGGATGTTTTGCACTTAAAAGACGACGTTTTTTTTTTTTGAGGGAATGATGGTGTTTAGAAATTTATGAGATCAAGTACAGTAGCTTACAAAAAGTACTCATTTTTTACGCTGACGTTTTGGAGTAAGGAGTAATATTTTTGTAATCACAAGATGGCGCTCCTGTAACTCATGAAGGATGGATAGTTAACAAATAAGACTACCAATAGAACTGTAAGACGTAAAAAGTGGCGCTGGTAAAACGTTTGCTTTAAGAGCAGCCTTTCTCTTTAAATGCAGTCAGTCATTTCAAAATTTTGCTTAAAGCAATGGAAAAAAGTTGGAAAATGCAAATGCATATATCCAATTTGTTTATACATTGTCTCTAATAAAAAAAATCGGATTTAGTATTGCACTGAAAATGTGTACAAAGAATTACAATTCCTAATTCATATTTACTAGCATACTAAATCCTAAAAAAAAATATTTTATTAGACACATAAAGGTACAAAAGAAAGTAGGTAATAAAATAAAACAAGTTTTAAAAAATAAAACTGTAATATGCACAGACTAAACTAACTAAAAAAAAATTTCAAAAGTAAATTATAATAAATAAAAATCACAGTCGTGTTCTTAACTTGATAGGAGACGGACATCGTATACGAACCGGTCGTTATCAAGTGTGCTGAACAAAAAGATTACCTTTAAAAACTTAAGTATTTTATTTTTATTTTTAATAATATTAGAATTATCCTGATTCTTTCGGGGCGTTCTACTTAAACAAATATGGATATCGAGCAGGGCGGCGATCCGCCGCCCGAAAATAATAATTCTAATAATTTGATAAACGCAGACATTAAAAAAACATTTGATTTAAATAATCTTTATCAAAAAACGGATACTGGGCCATATTTTGTTTATTTAGAACACCAAGAAAAAAATATCGGGAGGCTTTTTCCGATTAGAATAGGTCACTTTTTGCGGGAAGTGCCTGAATTTCAACAAAACATCACAGACATAAAACCTATAGGATTAAATAGAGTAAAGGTTATTTTTAAAACATACAATGTAGCAAATTATCTAGTAAATCATGAAGTTGTCCTCAAAAATAAATTAGTAGCTTACATTCCACAATTCTATACACATAAAAAAGGTGTAATACGTATGGTTGACACATTTTTTAATACAGATTATTTAAAAAATTATATCGAATCAAATATCAAGGTAGTTGATGTTAGGCGGATGAAACGAAAAGTACAAGACAAAGATACTAAAGAGGTAAAGTATATAGACACACAAACAATAGTGGTAACCTTTTTAGGAAACAAAATTCCGGACTGTGTTAAAATTAATTTAGTTAACTTTCAAGTAGAGCAGTATATTTACCCCGTAGTCCAGTGCTTCAACTGTTTAAGATATGGCCATACTAAAAACCAGTGCAAAGGCAAGAAAAAATGTCAAAACTGTGGCGATGAAGATTGTACTTTAAACCCCTGTCTAGAAAATAGAAAACATTGTACTCACTGTGATAGTATTGACCATAGTTCAATTTCTAAAGCATGTCCCATGTATAATAAATAGCATACTATTAAAAAAGTTATGGCAACAGAAAACGCTTCTTTTAAAGGAGCTGAAACATTGGTGAATAACCCCTCTTACTCCAAAATTATCACTAATAATCGGTTTGCACTTTTATCAAACGTAACGAACTTTCCTGAATTAACAGCTCCCACTAGTAGTTTTAGTGCCGTTCTTAATAAACCAAAACCCCCACAATCCCAAAAACTTTCTACCACTTCAACGAAAAAAAGGAAAAAGTTATCACCTCCATCAACGCCTCCGACTAGCTCCGATATTAAAAAACCAAATTTTAATTCTTCAGTTCTCCCTAATAATAATAATAATAATAATAATAATGCTCTCCCTAATTCACCCCCTTACGAGTGAATTTTAACCCCAAAAGCTGAGCTTGTCTGGGGAAAGGGACTCCATATAGAGAAGAATTTAGATTATATAAAGAAAAGTTAATTTTTGAAATCCAGAATTTAGTAAGTAATATAATAAATAATAAAGTAAATATAAATGATGAAAATTTCAAGCACATTGTCAGTAAAATGTTAGATGGATCAGAATATCTAGAACAACAAAAACCTAACTCATTAATAGAAATTTCTGATAGTGAAAATGACGAATTCTTTTAAAAAAATAAATAACAACTTAACAATTTTACAATGGAATAGTAGATCAATTACGGCTAATAAAGCCAGTCTTATTAATTTTTTAAATACTTTTCATGTTGACATTATAGTAATATCTGAACTTTGGCTGAAGCCTAAAAATAAATTCTACTTAAAAGGCTTTAACTTTATACAAAAATGCAGAGATGATGGCTACGGTGGAGTGGGAATATTTATAACAGAGACATTAGTGTACAAGGAATTGAAATTATCTTTGAATTTTAGTAGTAATATTGAAGCTTGCGCAATTCACCTACCTTCAGCAGATGTATCAATTGTGTCAATTTATAGACCTCCAAATCTGATAGTAAATCCTTCTGATTGGATAAATTTATTTGAACAGTTCAATTTGTCCACACTTTTTTGTGGTGATTTCAATTGTCATCATGATATGTGGGGTCCGATTCCAGATGATAGCAATGGAAAAATTTTAGTTGAAGCTATAGAGCATTT